TTTTGATTGATTTGTTTTTTACGGTTTATCAAATTTATGCAGGTTATTAAAAGCTAGGAAATATTTTCTATTGTAAGAATTTTTGAGATAATAATGGTTTAGTTGTACATGTCTTACTAATTAACCCATAGCTGGGGAAGTGGTTGATTTATATCTTTCCCAAATGTATTTGCACATAAGTGAATATACCGGACAGAACCGAAATTGGAACTCGGCTCTCTGATTAACAATTCCGAGCCATTATCTATAACAACACCGTTATTGATTATAACGTTGTATAATGACGATAATTAATATGTATTAATAGATTCATTTATTTATATAACAAATTCATTTTCTTTGTTTATGTTTTTATTACAGCTTTAAAAATTCATGTCAGTCCTCAGTTTAAAGAAACCCTTGACCAATTCGCAGCATTCGAGTTGGAATGTCGAGGACCAGTTGAAATGAAGGTAAGTTTGTCAAACTGAGCAGAAATTAATCTATGAATGTCGTTCAAAATGTTATAAAACTCATTCAGAATGAAGAGCCATAGTTGAGCATTTTTGCTGTGGCACTTTTCTTCTTCTTTTTATGTGTCATGTCCTTTCAGGACGTAGGCGATCATGGCTCTCCGCCTCCCTCAGTTCCTTGGAGCTCTAAACAAGTTCCTTCCCTCAGCTTCCTCCCCGAGACCACGTTCTGTCATCAACTTGCTTAAGCTCGTCAGGTATGTCACTCGCTGCTTTCCCATATCTCACTTACCCTCTATTTGATCGGTGGGTATCAGACTCTCCAGACCCTTATTATGTGTCCCAGAAACTCCAGCTTCCTCTTTCTGATGTTAACTATAAGACTTCTCCTTGTTCGTAACCAATCTAAGATCTTTTCGCTGCTCACATGCTCAGTCCATGATATCCTTGTAGAAGTTCGAGAACAATCAAAGGTATTAAACCTGTTCAGTTCAAGGAGGCGTAGCAGTTTGGTAAATAAGAATGCGCCTATTTGCATTCTTTGCATTTCATGTGCCATGTCCTTTCAGGACATATGCAATCATAGCTCTCCGCCTCCCTCTATCCCTTGCAGCTCTCAACAAGTTCCTTCTCCCAGACTACGTTCTGCCATTTACTTGCTTAAGTTCGTCAGGTATGTCATGCGTTATATTCCCTTGTCTCTCTTTCCCTCTATTCGACCCGTGAGTATCATATTCTCCAGGCCCACCTTCCTCATTATGTGTCCCAGAAACTTCAGCTGCC